ACACCGTTGCCGAAATGCCTCATGTTGGCTAGTTGCCTAGCTGCCTTTTACTCCGTCCAAAACATAATAAAACATATATATGTACTAGGTAGCATGCCCGTGCGTTGCTACAGAATAACTAACAATTTATACTAAAAACACACGGATCGCATAATAAGATAACAATACTGTTAAATTAAATACCAACGTTAAAGTGTCATTTAATCCAAAAAGCAAAGTTTATGAATTTAACACAGTCACGGAGTGCGCAGCGTCATAGGCTCACAAACTCTAGAGCTTCCAGAGATTGGGTCGAATCCAACCTAGAGCCTCGGAACCCTGCATCTTTTTCTGGACAGGCTTCACTTCGGATGTGCCGGTAGCAATATCAACGATCTCCAGTCGATGGACCAAGTCGTATGGATCCCCATACAATGGCTTAGACATGTAGATTTTGTTCTCCTTGTACTTGGATACACTTGTTCCACTGAAGCTTTCACTGAAATGTTTAGACACGAACAGTGTCTGATCACCGATGTCCCTCACCCTGGACCACTCCGGCGTATGGTCGTGGAGGTTGCACTTGTAGATCGCGCTGCTATAGGTGAAGCTCTGTGTCTCGTGGAACGTGCTCACCATGGCACCCACAATGTGCAGCTCACCATTTGATTCTAGGTAGCTACGGTGGTAGAGCCCCACAGGTGGCGACAACGATGGCAGCAGCGTCACGGTTGGAGTAGCGCCAGCGGCGTTGCTACTGCAGACAAAGATTTCTCCAGTGCAGTCAATCGCCAAGAACTTATCTTGGCAGTGGACGATGGACCCCACGGAGAACTCCAGTTTGGTGTCGAGCAGCGTCCATGCGCTGTCGACTCCAACCCGGCAGAACGCGACCTCCATGGAGCACCCAAGCATGGCCATGGCCACGCACTCGCGGCCGGCGGCGTCAGGCGGCGCCGAGAGCACGATCTCACGGAAGAACATGTCCCTCATGTCTTCTAGCTTGATGGCTCTGCCTGCGGCATCCGCGTCCCCGTAGCCGTTGGTGGGACGAAGGACCCACCGGCCGTGGACCCTAGACACGCGTTCCGATGAGGACGCCGCCACAACGTGTTTCCCTGCTGGCGGGAGCTCAACGCGGGGGGCACGGGCACCGGCGAATGGATTCAGCAGCGTCACGGACGCCGCCTCATCCATGAGAGCCAGCCACCCACACGAGGAGCCACACGCCACCTTGTCGCGCACGTCAGGCAGCGTCTTGGACAAAACCTTCTTCTTCGGGACGCAGTAGAAGCCGACGCGGTCCGAGTCAGGGTCGAACGGGAGCAGCAGGAGCGGCCCGAAGGTCGCGAACGGGACGGCGGCGCGCCATGGGGAGCAAGCGGATCAGAAGGACGCCGCGTTGTGGCCTGACGTGAGACACTGCCCGATGGACTCGAGGAGATCCTCTAGCAGGCCGGATCTCTAGTCAGGGAGAGGTAGGGACCTTCTCTTGGGATTGGGAGACTGAGCCATGGAAGACAGATGACAGCAACTATGGTTCATGCAAGAAACAGCAAGCGAGGGCGATGGAACACGTGAGCGTGAAACCAAATGAAAGTAGAAAAAAGTTGTCCCTTTTGCAAATGCAAAGAGGAGAAGTAATTAAATGTAGGCAGATTTGGTAAGGTTCTCAGAAATGCAAAGAGGTTCCTTTTATCTTAATTCTCTTTTCTTCTGTGTTAATTCTCTTTTCTTTTGCTCGTTGACATGTATGCTGGTGCATGCAAACATGCAATGTGTATATGGATAGCACAATAATTTTCGACTTCCTATTTTGTCGTGATTCCTTTATTACATGACAGGCAATATTCAATCAAGGAGAATGGCACGAACAATCAGTAATTAAGATGTCGTGGGATCGCAGGCGTGGGCAGACGGACGAACCAAAACAAATGTGGCACAAAAAAATGTGGCAGGCCGGATCTCCAGTCAGGGAGAGTCAGGGAGAGGCAGGGACCTTCTCTTGGGATTGGGAGGCTGAGCCATGGAAGACAGATGACATCAACTATGGTTCACGCGAGAAATAGCAAGCAAGGGCGATGGAACACGTGAGCGTAAAACCAAATAAAAGGAGAAAAAAGCTGTCCCTTTTGCAAATGCAAAGAGGAGAAGTAATTAAATGTAGGCAGATTTGGTAATGTTCTCAGAAATGCAAAGAGGTTTCTTTTGTCTGAATTCTCTTTCCTTCTGTGTTAATTCTCTTTCCTTTTGCTCGTTGCCTTGTATGTTGGTGCATGCAAACATGCAATGTGTATATGGATAGCACAATAATTTTCTACTTCCTATTTTACCGTGATTTCTCTATAACATGACAGGCAATATTCAATCAAGGAGAATGGCATGATCAATCAGTAATTAAGATGTCGTGGGATCGGAGGAGAATGGCAAAAAAAAAAATGTTCACACTTTGTTTTTTTTAATTGTAGGAGACAGTAAAAAGAATAACTCAGAAGATGCCACGATCTATCGTATGTACCCTGTTCATGCATCTTCTGAATGGATCCGGATGTGATGTGTGTTTTACTTTCTATGAATGGTACCATATTATACTACAAAAAAATAACAACGCTCCTGTTCCGGCATATCGTCTTTCTGCATATGGAGAATTAATGTGTTACCACTGTTATTTATGTCTAAAGCACGTTCCAATCCTTGCATGGATGAACGTACGTACGTACGGAAGTGATGATGGACAAATCATTCAGACACAAATGTGCCCCAATGAAAAGTGCAGCTGACCACAGATGTGCCGATTGCATTTTTTATAAGAAACTTCCTTGCACTTAAGAACATAGTACAGAGAGTAGCGCCAATAAAAGGCTCCCAATTTACGGAGGTGAGTGCTTCATTAACCACCAGGCACTGATTAACATGAGCAACATGTGTGCAAGATATAGTAGTTTGAGAGGGATGAGAAGACAGAGATGTATGAGCTTGTTTGGCTAAACTATGAGCTGGATGATTTAGAGCTCTTGCAATCTTGTATAGCTTGTTAAGGTTGTATCTATATTTAATTTGTCTGAATGAAATCCTGTGTGAGGGATGAGAAGACAGAGATGTATGAGCTTGTTTAGCTAAACTATGAGCTGAATCCTTGCAAAAAAAAAAACTATGAGCTGAATGATTTAGAGCTCTTAGTTTGCAATATTGTAAACCTTGTAAAGGTTGTCTCTATATTTGTCTGAATGAAATCCTGTGTGAGGGATGAGAAGACATAGATGTGCGAGTCATTTTTGTAAACCACCTGCAATTTTTGTAAATTTTCATCATTTTTATAAATTTTTTGTACGATTCCTGTGAAATTTTTCTGTTCCAAAGGAGTACGGTCTAAGTAACAACTTTGACATGAAGGCCAAAAAATGGTGACAACCTCATGCCACTGGGCTAACAAAAATGGTTAAATTCACAAAAGGTTACCATCGTCTTTCTTAATTCATTGGGATAATCTCACTGATGCTGGTGTAAGCGGTAGAGTCTTACCGCATGTGACCGGAAGATCCCGGGTTCAAGTCACAATCTCCTCGCATTGCTCAGGCGAGGGTAAGGCTTGCCACTAACACCTTTTCTCACATCCCGCACAGAGCAAGAGCTCTCTGCACTGGATACGCCCCCTTTAATCTCACTGATGACTGCATGTTCTTTTTTTCAAGTAAAATGAAAAGGACCACAGACACTACCTCTGTTCGATCATATACTATGTAATATATGTAACAGCGCAGAGCTCTGGCTACTTTGTTCATTTTTAATGGCATCAAACTTTCATATGTCTCAATCGCCTAAACTGTAAGGTAACGTTGAACTGGAAAGAAAACAATTTCAATCACTACAAGTTAGTAGACAGAGTCCTTTATTTAACTTTGAAATCTGCACAACCGTGTTGACTAAAGAGGATTGGGAATTCGTGGCCGCATTACACGCATTCAGCGTTGACAAATTTGCTGCGTCCTTCATCTTCCACGGTCGATATCCGTTACAGATATTGTTGTTTAAGCCTTGTTTAATTCCTCCTCAAAAACTTTACACCCTATTACATCAAATGTTTGAACACATGTATGGAGTATTAAATATAGATTAAAAAATACTAATTGCACAGTTTTACGACTAATTTGCGAGACGAATCTTTTAAGCCTAATTAGTTCATAGTTCGACAACAAAGTGCTACAGTACACACATGTGCTAATGACAGGTTGATTAGGCTTAATAAATTCGTCTCGCGGTTTACGGACGGATTCTATAATTTGTTTTTTATTAGTATCCGAACACTCCATACGACACCTCTATGTGACACCTGATGTGACATTCCAAAATTTTACATGATAAAACTAAACAAGGCCTTAATTAGATCGGTGGATTATCCCGTTTGCATGTCCAACACGTTAGCTAATAAGAAGCCAACAGCTGTGCAGCATCTTCGCGTGGCGTCTTTATCAATGATGGTGAAGAGATCAAAAAAGGTTGCATGTTAAGCTGTGTCTGAACATATGACATGCGCGCATTTTGCCGTACCACAGCTAGCTAGAACACGTACGACTAGTACTAGCATAATATATACCAGCCATGTGTTCAGTAGAAAGATCAAAAGGTTGCACGTTAAGCTTGCGTGACTTGTGACTAATTCAGATCAAGTTTAAGTGTGCGTCTATTCTCTATTGTCAACAAGATTGCTTGTGGATTGGGATGTCTGCGTTCAGAGGAAAGCAGAGAACAGGTCATCCGATCCATTCATCTCCATCGTACATGCATCCTGCAGGCTGCAGCAGCTCTACTATAAATACCTCACCGGTGCATACTCGCTTCATATAACCAGCAGCAGTACAAAGAAGCACGTACGACAGCAATAAGCAAACACTTGCCCGTGAGTGTGCCTTTCTATACCTTACGCTTTTTTGCAATAATGTAGTAGTAGTAGTCTGTTTCCTTTTTTGCATCGTCATCGATCAACTGATTCGCAGTTAATCTCGCGAACCACGACGACGACCATGAGCTCCACGGCGGCGGTGACGACAGCACCGGGGAGCGGCTGCGCCAAGACGTCGTGGCCGGAGGTGGTTGGCCACAGCATAGACGAAGCCAAGAAGGTGATCCTCAAGGACAAGCCCGACGCCGACATCGTCGTGCTGCCCGTCGGCTCGATTGTGACCGCGGATTATCGCCCCAACCGCGTCCGCATCTTCGTCGACACCGTCGCTGAGACGCCCCATGTTGGCTAGTTGCCCAGCTCCCTTTTACTCCAGCCACAACTGAATAAAAGATAATGTATGTATAGTAAACTCAAAATAATAACTCAGAAGATGCCATCATCGATCTATCATGTACCCTGTTCATGCATCTTCCCAATGGTTCCGGATGTGTGTTTTACTTTCTATGAATGATACCATATTACATATACTACTGTAAATAACAATGCTCATGTTCCGGCATGTCGTCGTTCTGCATATGGAGAATTAGTGTGTTATCACTGTTCTTTATGTCCAAAGCACGTTCCAATCCTTGCATGGATGAACGTACTATACGTACTGGTGACGGAAGTGATGATGGACAAATCATTCAGCCACAAATGTGCCCCAATGAAAAGTTCAGCTGACCATGTTTTTAACAGGAAACTTTGTTGCACTTAAGAACAGCTAGCGTACAGTGTGTATTGCCTAAAAGGCTCCCAATTACAGAGGTGAGTGCTTGCTTAACCACTAACCAGGGCACTGATTGACATGAGCAACATGTGTGCAAGATGCAGATAGTTTGAGAGGGATGAGAAGACAGAGGTGTATGAGTTTGTTTAGCTAAACTATGAGCTGAATGATTTAGAGCTCTTGTAATCTTTGCAAACCTTGTAAAGGTTGTCTCTATTTGTCTGAATGAAATTCTATGTCCGGTGGTGTAGATAAGTTTTTTTTTCATTGCCGAAGTATTTTATTAACTCAAGATAATTGTCTTGAGCTGAGATAGCATATATAATCTCTCATTTTCTCAACTGCTATAGAAAAACTAATTAAGGCCCCGTTTGGTACAGTTTTTTAGAAAAGTGCTTCCATAAGAAACTGTATAAATTAAGAAAAGGTGTGATGAGGATAACCTGACCTGACCCAGCTTATACTTTTTAATATAAATGGGGGCTACTGTGAGAAGGCCGGTCAAAGGAAACTGCAGAAAAATGCAATGTTTGTGTTTTAATTTCAGCTTATTTGGATCATAAGTTGCTTATAAACTGAACCAAACATGTCCTAAGTCCCCATTAAACCATCCTGCAATGTTTGTAAAGTCTAATCGATTTTTTTATGAATTTTTGTGTGAAAGTTCTTCGTTGCAAAAGAGAATGGTCTAAGTAACAACATTAACACGTGCAAACGCAAAAAAGGAGTGACATCCTCATGCAACTAGGCAAACAAAAATGGTGACAACCTCATGCCACTAGGCTAACAAAAAAGCTAGGTTAAATTCACAAAAGCTTACCATCGTCTTTCTTCGTTGGCAAATCTCAACTGATGACTGCATGCTCTTTTTTTCTCAAGTAATAAAATGAAAAGGACTATATATGTAAGTGCAGAGCTCTGGCTACTTTGTAAATTTTTAATGGCACCAAACTTTCAGATGTCTCAATCGCCTAAACTGTAAGGTAGCGATGAACTGAAAAGAGAAGAACTTGGTTAGTCTCGGTGGGAGTTTCACGTGAGTTTCATTTACATTAAATAGGTTGCCACGTAGGTATTTTAATGTTATGGCAGTGTATTTAAGAAGAGAGAGAAGAAATGAGTTTTAGGTAGATAAAACTCTTTTGGCATGATTACCAACTCTATATGAGTCATGAAATTAAATGCATATGAAACCGTAGAATGAAACTCTCAATTGAGAGTGGATGTTTCATCCAAGTTTTATTTCATTTCATTTCATATGACATGGCAGTTTGGAAACAATGCCACGAAACTCTTCACTAGACAGAGTCCTTTATTTAACTTTGAAATCTGCAGAATCGTGTTGACAAAAGAGGGTTGGGAATTCTGCCCGCATTATACGCATTCAGGTTTGACAATTTGGTGCGTCCTTCATCTTCCACGATCGATATTCCTTACACCTTACAGATATTGGATTATCCCGTTTGCATGTCCAACACGTCAGCTGTGCAGCATCTTCGTGTGGTGTCTTTATCAATGATGATGAAAGATCAAAAGGTTGCACGTTAAGCAGTGTCTGAACATATGACATGCGCATGCATTTTGCCGTACCACAGCTAGCTAAAACGTACGACTAGTACTAGCATATATACCAGCCATGCATGTGTTCAGTAGAAAGATCAACAGATAGATTGCACGTTAAGCTTGCGTGGCTTATGACTAATTATCAACAAGATTGCTTGTGGATTGGGATGTCTGCGTTCAGAGGAAAGCAGAGAACAGGTCATCCGATCCATTCATCTCCATCGTGCATCCTGCAGGCTGCAGCAGCTCTCTATAAATACCTCACCGGTGCATACTCGCTTCATATAACCAGCACCAGCAGTACAAAGAAGCACGATAACAAGCAACACTTGCCCGTGAGTGTGCCTGCCTTTCTATGCCTTACGTTTTTTGCAACAATAATGTAGTAGTAGTCTGTTTCCTTTTTTGCATCGTCATCGTTTAACTGATTCGCAGTTCAATTCGCGACCCACGACGACGACCATGAGCTCCACGGCGACAGCGGCGGCGGCACCGGAGTGCGGCGGCCCCAAGACGTCGTGGCCGGAGGTGGTCGGGCTCAGCGTGGAGGAAGCCAAGAAGGTGATCCTCAAGGACAAGCCCGACGCCGACATCGTCGTGGTGCCTGTCGGCTCCAGTGTGACCACCGATTTTGTGGCCAACCGCGTGCGTATCTTCGTCGACACCGTCGCCCAGCCGCCCCACGTCGGCTGATAATAAAGAGGCTAGCTAGCTGCTGCCTTAGCTTCGGTTCCTTCCTTGCTTCAGAACTGAATATTCTATAATTAAAATGAATAACTCGGACATGCCATCATGTCCGTGTATCTGCCGAATAATGGATGTGTACGTGTTTCTTTTCCTACTATAAATTATTACTAAACAATGGCATCGTTCTTGCATAAATATATGTATCACAATGTCGTCCATCCTTTGCACGGATGAATATATGAAAGGAGTCGCTTGCCCTAGCGCCGCCGTCGCCTCCGCATCCACCACCGTTGGTTCTTATCCCTTCCCCCTCTGGCATGTCGCCGGAGACCGGAGGGAGTAGCGATTCATCGTTTTTTATAAGTTTTCTAGTAGATCAGGTCATTTAGGATTAGAGTCTCTCCATGTCAAGTTTCTTGATACCAGGGTTTTATCTCCTCCTCCTCCTCCTCCTCCTCCTCTCAGGCGACGGCGAGGGGGCGGGATGGATTCGTTTTCTCCAAGGCGGCTCTATTGAAGATGAGGGCGACATCGGCATCAGCAACTTCATCGGCTCGACATGGAGACTTGGCTTTCCGAACGGCGACATCAAGACAAAGATGATGTCGTCGTCATGGAATAATTTTCTCCTATCTCTTCACCGTTTTATTGTGATTAGATCTGACCATAATGAAGGACTAGGGAGAATAAGTTTCAGATCAGTCTTTCTTATTCTTTGGTGGCAGAAAGAAGAAGAAGGAAGACACAATAAAGAAGAAGTTTCTCCACTTCGTCCGCAGGAATGTTGGTCGTCGTTCGTTGGGCATATGTTCTCAGGCCTTTGGCCGAGTGTTTGCCTGTGCGGTCAACTATACGAATCGTCTTATAGGTTTGGAGTTGAGATTTTGGGCTATACAAAGCCTAGGCACAATTTAGATGATCAGATTCTGGATATACACATTGTATTCCAGTTTGCTTGTAACGTGATTATATACTCATATATGATCTAATATAATTCTTGTTTCGTCTCAAAAAAAAGAATGAATATATGAAAGGGGATTAGTTGTTTGTTATCACTTTCTTTCATTAAAAAACAGCTGTCCGACACAATTGAATCCCGGTTGTCTAAATTAAATTCTCTAAACTTTGATTTACTTTTTTTTTACCAAAATAGGAGGGGTTGCCCCCCACTGGATGCATATATGCTATATGCGCTCCCCAAATAGAGCCTCTTTCTCCGCATTGCACCTTAGGTCAACGTTTGAGAGATTAGGGCAAGGGCTAAAATAAGCTTTTTTTGCACAGTACATCTTCAAGTTACACATGAAAAAATCTAAAATAAAAAATACATAATATTCTATCCAGATTTTTCTATCTTCTCCTTCCCCAATGGCATCCCTCAAACACCAGAGCCAAAGTGCAGTCCTTATGCCGATTCCAATGACCAACCCCCAACACATTGGACATGCCACAAGATCCAACGCTTCGGAAGTAGTCCAAAACGCATCTAAATCACTGAAAGAATATCGGCAGTTGCATCGTTGGGTACGACATAGGCTGCAGATTCATCACCTCAAGACCTTGAAATCCTCTCCGCGATCATCGACGATGAGATCGATGACCCGGAGTCGCTATCCTTGTCGGTGGCTCCCAGAAGCACCCCTCCCATTGTAGATAAAAGACCACAAATTGGCCGTTTGCCAATGAAATCGACGCCTGCAACCGCGATCTCGTCGTGGCAATCACTGAAGACATCGCAGGACACATGATCCTGACCGAAAATCATCTGATTTCACCAGAAATTAATTTGGACTAAACCCTAAACAAACTGGAACTATAAACTGTGGAAAAGAGAGATGGGTCCACTTTCCTTCTTACCTCCGGCAGACGCACCTGAGAGGAAGAAGGTGAGGGGCCCTAGGTGGTGGCGTGATGACAGCGAGGCCCTAGGAGCAAGGGCGGCGGCGGTGTTTTTCTGAAGACCCTAGGCAGCAGCTCCATCTGAAGAAGCGCACGGCTAAACTAAACAACAAGCTTAACTAAGGTGTTAAGCAAAATTTTTGTCAAGGGTGTTTTATGGGTTGTGACAGTTATAAGTAACAGTGACTCGTGCCCTAAGAACCTCTCTGATCCATCCAACTAGAGACGAATTAGCCAGTGCAACACGTGTCGTGCCCAACCGCGATATCATTAACAAGAAGCCGGTAGCTCCACCACTCCGTGCACTGGAGGGCTTTATTGATACCATTGTACTAGGCACATTGCAACTCGATCTGCAAGTGCGCTTCGTTATTACTAGCCAAATAGAACGGAAGATATTCGGACTAAAGACACTAGCTAAACTATAATAAGCAATGATAACAAAACATTTTTCACCGGTAGCGTATCTAGTTTACAGATTGTAGTTTATTAGTGCAGTCTGCTGGACACTGTAGCTGCAGCTGCAGCCCGCAACAGCAGTATCTTTTTTGTGCAGCCGAACACCCAGTTTTGTACGCTGTGCGAACAGCAAGGGTCCAGAGTTCTTTCAAGATGGACGTATTAGATGATACTGAGAACTAATAAAAACATCATTGATATATGCAAAAACAAAATCTGCCAACGGGCCACAAGCATAGCATTAAAACACTTAAAAACTATTGCAAAACATAGCCACATCTAGATAAAACACCTACAACGTATGTCTAAAATAGCTAAAACACTTGCAATATATATCTGAAACACTTGCAAAAACATCCGCAAACACTTGGAAAGCAGTTGCAACATACAGATAAAACACCTGCAACATATGCGTGAAACATGTGCAACATCCAGATAAAACGCTTGCAACATACGTCTAATAAACAAATAAAATATTTGGAACAGGCGCTTGCAATATGCGTGTATAGCCATTGCAATATATGCAATATCATAATCTACTTTTGCAATATTCATGTGAAACACTTGCAACAAACATTTAAAACAATTGAAACATACGCTTACAACATGCGCTTTCAGCGCAACAATCTTGCTGCTTGCCGCATGGAGGGAGCACAGCTACTCGTGCGCCCCGGATGCGCTAGGGCACCATGGCGTTGTTGTCCAAGATCATCCACGAGCAGGCCGACCATTACCACGAGTAACGCGAAGGACATCTACGTGAGGAGGGGGCCAGAGGCACATCAAGGCAGCTGGCACAGCACGACGCATAACAAACAGGAGGGTCGTGTGGCTGCGTACACCTGTGGTTGAGGAGTTCATCTACTATGCACCGCTGGCTGGAGGGTTGTGTCCTGGGACGGCGGACGAAGCGGTCGAAGAGGCAGCCACATCAGGCACCAGTGCAAGGCGAGGACGACGCAAGGGCCAGGAGGAAGACAGGCGGCTGCGACAGGCAGGAGGCGTGATGGAGAGGTAGGAAGGCGGGTGGCTACGCTCAGGCGCGGTGGAGATATATGCTGGCTGGCAGGCGCTCGGATGCCATGGAGAATGCCGAGGCGGCACAACGGAGCACGGTTGCGGCGCTGTGGTGATTTTTTTGAGAAACTGTGTGGCTGGAGAGTCTTCTGGAGAAACGAGTGGACGAACGAATAGGATAGGATAGGAGAAGGTTATTAGGCTAGTGTGGTGGGCTACCAACAGGAGTGTCCAAATAGATGGATGCCCTACAGGAAGTATTGTTCTCTAAAAGTTCTGTTGGCTGTGTGAACACGCAAGGGCCAAGAGTTCTTTCAAGATGGACGTATTAAATGATATTGAAAACTATAAAAACATCATTTAGCCCTTGTTTAGTTGGAGTCCAAAATCTCAAAAAGTGCTATAGTACCTGTCACATCGAATGTTTGCGGCTCATGCATGAAGCATTAAATGTAGACGAAAAAAAAACTAATTATATAGTTTGGTGGGAAATTGCGAGACGAACGTTTTAAGTCTACTTAGTCCATGTTTGAACAATAATTGTCAAATAAAAACGAAGGTGCTACAGTAGCCCCAAATTCCAAATTCATGGAACTAAACAAGGGCTTATATATGCAAAAGAAAATCTGCCAACGTGCCACAAGCGTAGCATTAATTTGGGCTAATTTTACGAGCAAGAACGGTGATTCTCAACCGTTGGCTTGCAGGTAGGAGTAATAATTAATGAACAAAATAGGTTAACTGATCGATTGATGGATCTGTTAGAATAAACTACTGCTTCACTTGTGTGAACACAGTAAGGGAAGGCGACGCCGAAAATGCCCCTTGCTGTGATACTATAGCCACTGCAGGTGCAGGCGCCGCACGGCTCACCTGCAGCACTGTAGCCACATACAGAGGCCGGCGTAGAGTCAGCCCTGTATGTTATCTAGTTACTGTTACAGCATGTGCGTTGTACTAGGACTAGATGGATAGAGTTGTATAAATAGACTACCACGGTAACTCAGTAAAGAGAGTTCAGATTTGTCATCTCCCATACAGGGCTTTGGCCAATGCTGGTGTCTTGTACTGTGTGTGTATGCTCTGTTCTCTCTTCTTCTAGCTCTAGCCATAGTGCGTGGAGACGGACAACGCTTGTTCGTGGTCGGCACGGCTAGTCGGTGCTCGACAACACTAGAGGGTGCTCGGCAAGACTGGTGAGTGGTTCGCTCACCTGAGCTGGTGATCCTATGGGCCAACAAGTGGTGTCGGAGCCGTACAAACGCCGTCGCCAAACTAACCGCTGGCGATGACGGGCGGTTCGGAGATGGGCGACAGCAGTGGCTGCCCAGCCACGACCGAAGGTCGTTGTTCGCACGATGCGGGAGGTCAGCGGCACTAGTGGTCGGTGTCAGAGCCTGACGGCTCTGGAATGCTATTGACAAGGGCACCGATAATGAAGAAGATGACATGTCAGCGTTGGAGGCTATCCTCGCTGCTGTACTGGTGGAGTACAGGAAGCCGTTGGGGGCGAAGAGCTCGGCTATGGAGACGTGGGAGGCTATTGCGACAATGCGCGTCGGTTCCGACCACGCAAAGAAGGCGACGGCCTAGCTTCTGAAGCAGGAGTACGCCAACCTCAAGTTCAAGGA